GTCGCAAAGAATAGTGACCACGTGGGCTTCTATGTCGGTTGCAAGTAATATTCAGACTATCTTTTCAGCTTGTGGTTCTCTGTAATACTAACATATCTTCCAGTGAATATACTTTTCAATTTTATGTCAATTCCTTTGTATTCTTCTGGTGTCAAGATTGGTCAGCCAGATCCTAAGTGGTCAGTATTCTCAACATATTGGATTTTTTCCGATGTGGTTTTTAAATATTAAATTAAATTACCATATATACTCGCGTATCATGCGATTTTTGAAGACCTAAATTTGAAGCTAATTTTAAGGGGTTGCAACATACACACGAGATATACAATTAGCGTATGTACTGCTGGCACGGGCTGCACCGTTCAACAAACTATATATATATCAATTTACTATAGTCTAAAAGTACAAGCTGTATTTAAAATATGATTTTGATAAAACTGTATCCAATAATAATGCATGTATTATTCACATATTAGTATCGTATTATAAAATAAAAACATAGCGAATATACATCGTTTCATTTATAAGATGTTTAGGTGTTCCTCGTTTGTTTATGGCTGTACGCGTTTACGCAACGAGTATAGCATTACTGACGATAATTTTTCATTCTCTTGTACTTTTTTAACTTATTTAACTAGAAGATGGGATAAAGAGATAACAGAAAAGAGAATAATATATACATAACAAAATCATTTTGTATAAGTGAAAATTTCCGGGTCGCACGATACGCGAGATCCCGCGTTACATGAGAATATCCGGTATTATTATTGTTGTTTGAGATCGGAACACGCGCCAACAATTTTTCGCTGTTGCACAAATATAGGAAACCTCAGGACCCCCATCATTATATTCAGTCTGATAAAGGTACACAAGTCATTTGCATCACAGTCAAATGTGCACGATATGATGACATTATTTTTGTTTTATAAGATAAGTGTTTAACTTTGCAGATGAGGCCCAGTTAGAAATACCTTCAGGTCAGCTCGTACACTTTCCAAGTGCGCATGCTCCAAGTATCTAGATATGACATAAAAGTCTCCTTGGCTGTCTCAGCCTTCAAATTTAAATAACAGCAACCTCCTCTATACTCGGGGAAGTGTTCAACATTCCTCAGTACATGAGCTGTTCCAAACCAGCACTGCCACCTGCGCATTCCTAGTGATATCAGCTATCCCCAAAGAGTCTTGCTATACAGAAAGATTCCTGGGGATAAGTCCAGAGTGAACCAACCACAAAAGTTACAAATGGATCTGTAGCTTGGTATATTTCTCCGACTTAGTTCTGTATTGATATATCTGTATTTTGTATAGTCAAACGAGAGAGTAGTGCTGGTAGTAGCGAACACAGTTTTACATGGAAAGACGGACTGTCGATGATTATTATGGCGTCGTTTTTCTCTTTTTCTTCGACCAATGACAATGCGTTGCAAACTTTCAATAGCCTTTTCTATTAACACAGCACCTGTTATTACTAAGTGGTCTCCTAGCTAGGTAAGTACCAGACTCGACGTTGTGTAACTCCGTTGATCGTATGGAACCGGTGTTACAGCCAAGTTGAAAAAAGATAATGGGAAGGAGGAAAAAACGTAAACGAGGAAGACTCTCTCTCTATATGTATATATATATATAGAGAGAGCGTCTTCGTTGTTTACGTTTTATATATATATATATATATATATATATATATATATATATATATATATATATATATATATATATATATATATATATATATATATATATTCTGTTTATACGTTATTTTTATAGATACAAATATTTAAGTAAATGCTCTGTTTATACTAAACAGTATAAACTATATTTACCGGCCTTAATGTCCGAGAAATTTCATAGGAAATATGTGTCCTCCGATAAGAATCAAGCCTGTATCCTACACGGAACCGTCATATAGCCTGACGTGCTATACAATTTAGCTACAGGGGAAGCGTCTGATTAGCAAATTTCAATTGCTGTTTTTAAACAACAACTTAGTCCATTTCATAATATATGATGTCATTTGTTTACGTTAAGATACATTTGGAGCAGATATGAGCGTTCAAGAGAAATCGTGGGCAATTTGTTGTTTAATTTCTTTGATTCCTGTTGTATAAACATTTCCTTCTGGGTCCCAACCAGAGACCTAAGGTCAGAAATAGCCTCATGATATTTCCACTGATCTTTCAAATCAAAACTAAGATCTCATACATTTTACATAGACAATGCTCTTCATATTGAGTGAGCTGTACTCAGGAGTATAATATTTTTGTGAACGTTTACGGCATGGACCACCAGGAATCCCTTTAATGAGTCTATCGGAACCTTTTTCAACCAATCAGAGGGATCCAACTACAACTGGAATTAATCATATCCTCATGTACCCCAGTTTTTTTTGTTTTTTTTTAGATTTCCGCTTCAAGAACCTTGTACTTTGATAGTTTTTTTGAAGATCTTCAAAGATACATTACAATCTGGAGGGACTTCCATGCCAATAAGAATGCCCATTTTGTTTCTGTGGTCTTATTATATCTGGGCGATTAGATTTGATTGTTCTGTCTATGTTTATTTTAAAGTCCCATAAAATTATTACAGGTTCTATCTATGTAACTGGATCTGGATGATGCCCATCCCAGTGTCTTGCAGATTCCTTCCCGTAAAGTTGCATATTTTCCAGTACAGATATTGACCCACTTTGATATACCGAATTTTATATTCAGTGAGTGCAACCTGATACAAGACGATCACAAATTTATAGATATTTATCATAGAATCTTCATGTCGGGTTAACACAAATCTTCACTGTGTGTGCTTGGTAATTTCTAATTAACAAGCATTGGTCCTGTACAGTAAGAAACCTTCGATTTCAGCTTTTAATCATACACTACGTAACCACTGAGGGGTACGGGGTTTGTCTACATCAGTTTGCTTGGCACGGGCAGAGTATTGACCTTGAAGAGGTTTATCTTGTCATTGTTTCTGCATTTGGTACATTGCATTTGCTTTTGCTTTCTTTCTTCTTCTTTTTTTAGGTTCTTTGCCGTTTCAGTAGATGTATTATGGTTTATTTGTACTTCTTCACCCTCTTGAAATTCCATTTTGAATTTGTTAGCTCCCTTTACTAATGAATAAAATTATTTCTTTCATTTTCTTTGACACAGATCAACATCCAGTCTTCTGTAGTTTCTAGGTACAGTGCATCCTCGGTTTTTGAACGTCTCATATGTCGAACAAAATCGGTTTTCTAAAAAAAAAAATTCGAGATGAAAATGCCTCGGTTATCGAACAAAATTTCGGTTCTCGAACAACATTCCCGAACCGGATTAACGAACGGAATTATTTCTGGGTTGACCGCCGTGTTGTATACATTTGTGTATTGTGGCGTGCTTTTCTTTTCCAATTTTATTGTACTGTGACTTTTTTCTCTACATTGATTCCTATTGAAAAAATAGTTTCGGTTTATGAACATTTCGGGTTACGAACTGCCTTCAGGAACGAATTAAATTCGTAAACTGAGGTTCTACTATATCTTTATAGACCAATTGTTGTGCTTTTGTAAGAGAGTTCTTTAAACTAATCCTCTGCCTCCTTTATATATATGGGCACATATAGACAACATCAGCCTTAAGATAATGTATGTGGTGGCAAGTGAAAAGCTTTCTCGTTTTGAAATCCATTCGCTCAATGTCAGCTATGGTCTAGTTAAGGATGTTGAAACTGTATAGACAGTCAAAATATTTATGGCAGATATTCTGTTTTGCGAATTCAACTCGGTATTTAAATCCACACGCACACTCCTGTAATATTCTTTTCTTATTTTCTCTTTCATTTGGGAATTCTGTATTCCATCTCCTTTGCCGATTCCTAGATATTTATAGGCTTCTTCTTGTTCCAGTTCCCTAATCTCTGTGACAAAATCTAGATCTGTTGTGTTTCTGTAATTCTCCCTTTCTTGAATGTTACTTTTGCATATTTATTTAATCCGAAATTCATACCGATATCATCACTGGAATATATTACAATATTGAGGTGACACTTCAATTCATTGTCGTCTTTGGCAAAGAATTTGAGAATAGTAGAATAGGTGATTAAATACTTTCTTTTTTTACTTTGTATTCATAGTTATTACTGTTTAGTTCATGTTAAAGGAGGATTAGACAGAACAGACGGGGAAATCAAGGAGTTTTCTTGAAAGATTCCTCGTTGAATATTCAAACAATTGGAAGTGGCAGTAAATTTGGTGTGATTTATTATTATTATTATTATTATTATTATTTATTATTATTATTATTATTATTATTATTATCTTTGATTTCTGGCGTTTACATTTCTTTCCGGGTCCCGCCCAGGACCTAAGGTTAGAAATGGCATCATGACACTTTCCACTGACAAAAAAAATATTACATAGATAAAGCCCTTTGTAAAAGTGTGGGCTGTACTTGTCAGAACAATTTTTTTGTATCTCCTTGAAGCATGGACTTCCAGGAATCCTTCAATTAGTCTACTGCAATCTTTTCCAACCAGTCCTAGGGCTCCAACTACAACAGGGATTGTTGATGTTCCCATATGCCACATTTTCGAGATTTCGATTTCAAGGTCCTTGTATTTTGACAGCTTTTTGAATATCTTCAAAGATACATTGCAGTCAGCATCAATAAGGAGGCACTTTTTTTTTGTTTGAGGTCTTTAATAACAATTTATTATTATTATTATTATTTATTGAGTTTTTGCATCAGTTGTCGTCATTCTTTCTAATCTTGAGTGGCAGTCTTGGAGAAAGACAAATGAATCCAAAACGATAGAGAAGGCAACAGGAAACCATTCTATTCGCTTTCCCCCAAAAATAACAATGGTTTAGTCATAGAAGTCTTACTAATTAGTCCCTTAGTTGGGAAGTGGGGAGTTGGATTCATGCCTTTCCCAAGGATATTTGCGCGTAAATGTATTGGAACTCGGCTCTCCGATTAATATTTCCGAGCCATTATCTATTACATCACCCACACATCCAAGCTTACAGCAACTGGTATTCCCAGTGGGCCACCCATCAAGGTACTAACCAGGCTCGACATTGTTTAACTTTGGTGATTGTACGAACTGTTGTTTCAAGGTGATGTGGCCGTAAGCCTAAATAGCAATAAATTTTTAAAAATACATTGACAACCGAATATTATTAATATTAGTATAGAAAAGCCCATAACTCAACGAAAACAAAGATTTGTTATTAAAATGTTGTTATTAATTGAAAGCTAAAGTTATGGGCCTTTCTTCATCGTGATATGCTGTTTTTTTTTACGCGACCTAATGGAGGTACCTATATTAGTTGTATTATTAACACTTAAAAGAAGAGAGCGATTTAAGAAAAGAAAAAGAAAAGATAAAACACAGTGTTTGACAATATTGCCGAAATATTTAATATTGTCAAACACTGTCTTTTTTTTCCTTTTTCTTTTCTTAAATCTCTCTCTTCTCTTAACTGTTGAAAAACATTGGAAGAGTTACGTCAATCATTTTGTTTAATAATAATAATAATAATAATAATAATAATAATAATAATAATAGTACAGCTCAGGAGCAAAGCCTCGCAACCAGATCTTATCACTGTCACATAATCAAAGATGGAACTAACACGAAATGCAGGATCATACCTGCTGTTTCTTGGATGGCAACTGGTCTACCGCAGAAAGAAATGGCAACATACTGCGGGAAAAAAAATCTGCCTCGTCTGTCATGTATCGAAAGATACATGATCGCCTAAAGCATGTATCGCGTAAGGCACATAACCGACTGACTAAATGACTGAAGTGCAAATATGTAAACCTTAATATAAGTATCATGACATCGAATTTGATAAAGGTCTAACAGGTACAAAGTGTCATGTTTCGATAAAAGCCATTATTATTATTATTATTATTATTATTATTATTATTATTATTATTACCCGTACAGCCGCTTTTTAATATCGTCGAAATATTGTTTAACATTGTCAAACTGTTTTTTCTTTCCTTTTTCTTTTCTTAAATGACGCTCTTCTCTTACCTGTTAAAAAACATTGGAAGAGTTACGTCAATCATTTTGTTCCTTATTATTATTATTAGTTGTAGTAGTAGTAGTAGTAGTAATAGTAATTGATGCAGGTTTATTTTTATTGATGGCTTTTATTTGGAATATTTAGACAGAGCGACCCATCTGCTTAACTGCGTTCATCATTAAAGGCTCGAATCATATAAATGCTGAAATGAATAATCAAAATGAAAATGAAGAAACGCAAAGCGAATACAACTGCAATATTTCTCTAATAAATGGATTTTGTGCAAACAGTCAAGTGGAGATAAAATGGCGGCTTCAAGCGCCCAAACGCGAAGGAAAACCTTTCAACTGATTCACACAGAAGGGAAATGCATTATACACGTTTACGATTGGGAAAATCAGAGAAATCAAGCGTTAGAATGTAAATATCTTCGCCATTATTTTATAGAATATTTAATTCTAAAAATTATTACGCGAACAACGCATAAATATTCATGCTATCTACCCGTTCATATATTTCTTAGAATGAAGGCTGATTAGTGTTTAATGCTCCATGCCAGATCGGTAACACTCGGGATTATTGATTCACACAAGAGGAATATTCTTCTTCTATGTGTCGCCTCCATTCAGGACGTGGGCAGATATGATTCTCCATACTTGTTGCTCTTTGCAATGTTTGCCTTTTTACTTCCCTCCCACTTCCTGTTCTGCCAGCGATTTACACAAACCTTATAGATTACTTACTCACCATTTCCCTCTGTCTCTCTTACCTACAGTATGGTGATTTTTCTAAGCGTAGCTTAGATGTGGCACAAGGCCGAAAGTATGGGGCTCCCAGTGAGGATCAAACTCACTATTCAGTTGTAATTAATTTAGCGAAACAAGCTTGCTAACCATTACAACACATCGAGTGTCCTTCTCTTACCTATAATATGCCCTGTGAATATTAAATTCTCCAAGCGCTCTTTCAAATATCAACTGTCTCTTTCTGATTCTTAATATGTGTCAATTTAGTTTCCCGTTTCTTTAAAACTTCTTTATTTCTCACATGCGCCGTTCATGATATTCTCAGCATCCTTCTGTAGAACCACATTTCTGTTGCTTTCAAGTCTTCCTCCGTGGTGAGATTGTCCAGTATTTACTGCCATATAGGAGGATTGATATTAAATAGCAGTTCAGAACTATTTTCTTTGTTTCTAACGAAATTTTCCTGTTTCCTGATACTTTGCTTAGAATTTGGAAGGTATCTTTCGCTATTGCAGTTGTCTACACTACACAAATATTTAAGTTCTTGCTTAATTTTGACAACTCACAATCGCAGCTCGCGTCATAAGCTCTTCATTTTACTGACAACTATACACTATGCCTGCTTACAATTAGTGGTTCGTCTATTCTTCCCGCTTTCCTTTATTAACTTGTCTAGGGATTCCTAAGAAACAGTTCAACATGCAAATTACAAATTGGAGATATCAACATTAAACAAGTGCAAAAATTTAAATATCTAATATATGTTTTAATAGGGGATGACAAAATTGCGACACCGAAATCCGGGTACGCCTTGAGATAGCGAAAGATGTCTTTTAAAAGTTAAGCAAAGTACAATAAAATCTCATTGAAAACAAAGAAAAGAGTACTGAGCTGTTACGGAGTATCAATTCTCCTACATGGTAGTTCATGCTTGAGAAATTCCTTGCAGATGAAGAAAAGACTTGAAGCAAAAGAAATGTGGTTCTACAGAAGGATGCTGAAAATGCCAAGTTTTAGAGAAAATGGAAACCAAAAGGAAACTTATACTTAACATCGGAAAGAGTTGAAATTTCTAGGTGACATAATGAGGAAGGAGTACTTGGAAAATCTGATACTCACAGGACAGGTTGAAGACAAGAGGAAGAAAGAAAGACAGCGTCTAACCTATTTATTGAGCTTTGTAAATGGGTGGCAGAACAGGGTATAGGAGAGCTAGCACAAAGACAAAATTTACTAAGCGCTACAAAGGACAGGAAATTGTGGAGAGTCATGATCGCCAACTTCATAAAGAGCCATGGCATAAGAAGAAGAACATGGCAGTAAATGTTGAACCATCTCATCACAGACTTGAGGCAACAGAAATGTGGTTCTACAGAAGGATGCTGAGAAGCATGAAAAGAATACGAAGGAGCAACGACGAAGTTTTAGAGAAAATGGAAACGAAAGGGATACTTGTGAATAGCATCAGAAAGAGACAGTTGAAATATTTAGTTTACGCAATGAGGAAAGAAGGCTTGAAAAATCTGGTACTCACAAGACATATTCAAAGCAAAAGGGACAGAGGAAAGCAACGCGAAAGCTACAGAACAAGCTTGCGTACATTGTTGGTAGAACAGTGATTAGGAGAGATAGCAAAAATACAATCTTTTCTAAGGACTACAAAGGTTAAGAAGTTTTGGAGTGCCATGATTACCTACGTTCTGAAGGGCTTCTTTTTTTTTGCTTGTCATCAATACGGTTTTATATATGTATCTTATAGTATTGTATTCTTATAGTATCTTATATATTGTGCCACCAGCATTCTGATTTTCAGATTATGATAGAGGCACTTTATAGAGCAGTGACTCTCAACTGTTGTGCCGCGACACTGGAGAGTGCCTCGTTATGCCTGCTTGGTCTCACGCTGTCCACTGACATAAGGTGGAATAAATACATTCAATCAATAACTTCATCTATTGCAAGGAAAGTTGGTTCTCTGTGTCGTACCAGAAAGTTTTTCCCGTCTGAGTCCATCCTTCTAGTCTGTAAATCAACCATCCATTCTTGCATGGAATATTGCTGTCATATATGGTCTGGTGCTCCCGCTGTACGTCTCGAGATCATCGACAAAATCCAGAGACGAATATGAAATGGGATAGGTCTAGATCTGGCATTTAGTCTATAATCGCTTTCCCCCAGCCGTGCTGTGGCTCCCCTCAAGTATTCAAGTATTTTCAAGGCAGCTGTTCCGACGAGCTACTTTCGCTGGTTCCCAGACTGCATGAATTTAAGCGAGCTACTAGGCTGGCATTTCGGTCCCAACCTTTCACTGTCGAAACGGTTAAATGTAACCGTCTCTTCTACACCAACAGCTTCTTCTCTCGCACTTCTCGTCTGTGGAACTCCCTTCCTCTTACTTGCTTCCCCGACGACTATAATCTTCAAATATTCAAGTTTAATGTCAATCGATATCTGACACCCTGAGCTTGTTCCCCATCCTCCTCTGTGTCCATTCCCTCACACGCGCCTCTTTACTCTTATTCTCAATCCTCTGTAACCCCTTGCATACTAGTGGCACTCCCGCCTTGCTTGACTTAGAAAAATACTAGTGTACCGCGAAATATTGTCACAGCATATATATATATATATATATATATATATATATATATATATATATATGTGTATGTATGTGTGTGTGTGTGTGTGTGTATGTATGTATGTGTGTATGTGTGTGTCTTTGTGTGTGTAAGTAGTAATGGTACAGCGTTAGTATTTGAATAAATGAATAAGCATTAAACTTTTTTAAAATAATTAGCCATATATATCAGTAACTTCATTAATCTTTTTTTTGTATGAATGATTCATAATATATATATATATATATATATATATATATATATATATATATATATATATATATATATATATATGAAAATAGTAATGGTACAGCATTAGTATTTGAATAAATGAATAAGTATCAAAATTCTTATCTCACATTAACTAAAAAGGCTTTATCAGTTTTATTGCAATTTTCTACTTCTTGTTTATGTGGCTTAGGCTTCTCAATCCTAAATAACACCAAAAATAAGAAGCGATAAAGACGACGCTCAACTGAAGAAGAAATGAGGGTCTGCTTATCGCACATTAAACCAAACATTGAAGAAATCATGAAAAAATACCAGGCACAGGTTTCAAACTAAATAAGCTGCATAAACAGTTGAATAGAAACATTGAAATAAAGTAAGTTCATATTTGTGAGTTTATTTTTTTCAAACTATGGTTTTATTTCATAACATTTAAATGGATACCCTTTAACAATTTGACTAAGTGTGCCGTGATATTTTCATTTGGTCCTAGGGGTGCCGTTGC